CCCCCCCCCCCCCCCCCCCCCCCCCCCCATTATTTTGTATACACCGTGAACCAGGCTTGTTGGTCTGAGGTTTCCCTCGAGAAAGTTCTCAAATATTCATTCTCAGAAGTATTTTCTCAAATATTCATTCTCAGAAGTATTTAGGAAGACCTTAAAGCATCCATTTTCATGGTGTTCCAGCACTGATAAAAAAACTTCTCCAGAAACAAGACCAGGGCTTTATTTGCTCCTAAGCTTTGGATTGCCTGAAGGATTTCAGACTCTTCAAAGGGCCTTACCGACCAAAATATTTCCCTCCCTTTGCATGATATTTTGATATTTTTTGCCACTCTATGCAATACAGGTTTCCTGAAAAGAGTTTGTGCGATCATCCTTTGGGATTCTATTTTTCTTTCAATCTAGTTCTTTTTGTAATTATGCTGTCATGTCTATAATATGCTAGCCCATTGGATAGCCGTCATATAACATCTTGGCATTTTTACTCTGCTTCAATGGCTTGGTTTGTGAGGAGGCTCAAACCATTTGTCATTCCATGGTTTAGAGTCAGATTTTGTAAAAGTTTATACAGTTTCAAATGCTTTTGGTATATGGTTTCCTTGGATCCTTCCTGGAGGAAAGATGATAAGAAACAACTATCTAACCCAAGTTGTAACTTTAAAAAAAGGGTTCTTGAAGATTAAAAATATACCCTTCAAATTCTTCCTAAATACTCTACATGCCTTTCTACGTCGTTCAGACTTAGATCTATATGAACGAAAAAAAGTGTATCGCTATTTTTGTTAGTGTTCGTTTTGTTTACAACATGTTTGTTCTTTTGGTCCATATTCCCCCCCGAAGTTTTCACTCTTCCATTGTTGATTTTGTTCACTTTTTGAAAGAAATTTCTCATTTTATTTTATAGGTTGAAGTATTACATTCAAAACGTTAACATATTCTAGTGTTGCATCTGGTGGAACCTAAATAATGATGACAACTTGTTTCATCTCAATACATGATTGCTTTTTTTTTGTGAATGTATACTTGACTGTACTTCTGAAATCTGAACTTTATGGTCCAATTTAAAGTCAAAATTAAGAAATGCATGTAATAGTTGAGAAAGTTTTATCAGCAATATGAAGAAGGTAAAGGTGTCAAGTCATTTTTATTTCAGCCGTTTGCTGGGATCAGTGGTTTCCAGAGGCAGCCAGAGCCCTGGTTCTTCAAGGTGCGGAGATATTGTTTTATCCTACAGCTATTGGTTCTGAACCTCAGGATGATGGACTCGACTCTCGTGATCATTGGAAAAGAGTAATGCAAGGGCATGCCGGTGCCAATTTAGTAAGTTTCTAGACCGACAATACATAACTGACCATATGTTTGCATAAGAATCGGTTTCATTTTTAGTTTCCAATTTTGTTTGAGGAGCTTGCATGAGTTGTCTTTTCTGGAAGCCTCCTTGGCCTGCTGTTGAACTACCATTTGAGCTATCCCAAAGTAAAATTTGAATTTGAGTTTTGTATGCACGACATTTTGCTTTAAAATACACTTTTTGACCTTTTGTTGGATATTAAACTTTAATTATACCACACAGAGACGTGCATTTTGTAAGATACCTAATTAATATAAAAACATTCAGGTACCACTAGTGGCTTCAAACCGCATTGGAACAGAGATCATTGAAACAGAGCATGGCAAAAGCAAGATCACATTTTATGGGAATTCTTTTATAGCAGGTATTGTGTAATAGCAACATTTGCAAAGTTGAAACATTGATTTGTGAGAAGGTAGCATCTTGATATATAAATGCTTTAACGACAGGACCCACCGGAGAAATTGTTGCTGCTGCTAATGACAAAGACGAAGATGTTTTAGTAGCCGAGTTTGATCTGGATAAAATCAAGTCCAAGAGACATGCTTGGGGAGTCTTTCGTGATCGCCGACCAGAGTTGTACAAGGTGCTTCTAACTTCAGATGGCACCAACCCCATTTTATAAACTTCGGTCTCGACCCTGTTAGTTTTTTATTCTAGAAAGTTGGAAGTTTAAGCAGGATGAGCTTTCAGTCCCCTGTTTATGTTTCAAAGATCAACATAAACAATGGAGCTGAGTTTCCCTGTTTATTTGGTACCAAATCCGTAACTTTTTAGCTGATGCTTCAAAAACATGGTAGAGGCCTAAGTTCTCAATCTGCAATATATTTACAGAACTTTTTCTTTTCTTTATTAATTTAGTTGGTGGTCTTAATTTATGTGGTCTACTTTGAGTTCTTCATCCCGTAGAAGATTGTCTTCGATTCAACTACTTTCTAAACAACCTTTGAGTTCGTTGAAGGTTGTTATGAAACAATTTGAAGGCATCGGGAGAAACATTTTGGATGTCGTAGGACAAACTTGAAATAGTTTATTGTGATTTGGAGTATTCGTAGATAGTCCTGGTGGTCTTAGTTTCTATAGCCTACTTTGAGTTCATCCCGTAGATGACGATTGTCTTCAATTCAACTACTTTCTAAACAACCTTTGAGTTCATTGAAGGTTGATATGAAGTAATTTTAGGCATCGGGAGAAACATTTTGGATGTCGTAGGAAAACTCGAAATGGTTTATTGTGATTGGAGTATTTGTAGATAGCCTGGGTTAGGAAGTGGGAAAATTTGGTATGATTCCATTTCTTTGTTTGTGGAGTTCTTCAGCCCATTAAATTCTGTTTGGTAAAATATGAATGAAACAGAAGAAATCATTGTTTCTGAAATTAGACAAAGAACTTCAAATGGGACAGAAAATTTCTAGGGAAGAAGGCAATCAATCACCAAATAAAAAAAAAGTGTTCAAGGCATAATCATCCTTTTAGGGAAGAAAACTTGGAAATTCTAAGCTTGAAATTCTCTATCTCTAAGAAAGTGATGGACTCTTATCTCATTGTTGGCTAGTTTCAACCTTGCATTTCCCGATACTATTTTCTTTGTTATTCTTCGTGTTGTTGTTGTTGTTGTTGTTTGTTGTCGTCGTCTTCTTCCTTGGCCTCTCTGGTTTGCTTATTAGGAACGAGAATATGCAGTTTCAGGCGTCCATTTTCGCGGGAAGCATGTAGAAATTCATGGGTAGGGACTCTTATTTCCTTCAATATGAACCTTCCACCATATCTATAGGATTTGAATCCAACCCAAGGCTTCCCACTGTTCCCCATACAAGAAATTGGAGGAGGAAAATCATCAACATTAGCAGATTTTGTCCTCTTAATCATCCCAGGATTCCAAATAGGATCCTGAATCTGTTTCTTTAAGGTCTCTTCCTCTTCTTCCTCCCTCTGCCATTCCTGTTCATCCATCCCCCCTTCCAAATCCTCACCATCATCTAAGCTTTCATACCCAAGCCCTTCTGTGCAGAGTTGCAGGCTTTCTGAATTGGTTGATGAGAAGCTATTACTTCTCCCATGGGAGCTGGAAGATTCACCATTTGACGACGGTTCTTTCCATGGGATGATATCAACGGTGGCAGCAGCAGGAGACGGAGAGTTCGATTCTGTCAAAGACAACTGAGGTGACAAAGGAGGAACAAAACTCTCTTTGAAATGAAGCTCTCCAAAAATCTCTGTAAACGACGATTGCTGTTGTGATGGCGTCACAGATATAATCTGGCTCCATGACGAGAGTGTGTCGAGAAGGGTTGGATTCTCCGGTAATGGGGTTTCGAAGATGTGTTGCAGGCTTCCACAGGCAGCCATGGACGGATAGTCTATGCAGTATTTGCAGGTAGAGAGAGAGAGAGAGAGAGAGAGAGAGAGAGAGAGAGAGAGAGAAGTTGATAAAAGTGTAATATATGGTTGAAAACGAAGAGATGAGGGGAGATAGGATGGTTTGTGAGGTTTGAAATGATGAAAAGAATGTGGCTTTAAACTTGGTGAGTTCCAGGCATTTTGGGATCTGTTGAGTGGTTTTAGGACCAAATCTAAATTTTGTGGTAATTAGGGTATCTGTTTTTATAGTCAAAACATTATTATTATTATTATTATTATTATTTCCATCTGTCAAATCCAGATAAGAGGGACATTAAAAGAGAAAAAAAAAAGGATATATTCACATCATAATCGAATTTATTCTAAACCATGGCCATGGGATTTTTTGTAGATGTGAATATATATAATAACGTTACGTTAAAGCCCAATCAATCTTTTGGGTGTAGAAATGTATTATTTTTGGGTGCCTAATCAATCTTTTGGGTTCGCATCCTCTACACTTTTAACTTTAATAATGAATTAACTTAATTGGGATTGCAGGAAAGTTCAATTTCATGGACGATGGGATCTTAAAACTCATATATGAGCCTAAAAATACTCGATTAAATCTATTGAATAGGAGCTGGGTGCATGCAAGTTGGAACAAATCGCACCAACTAATGTTGAACCGTGCTTGATGCACTAAATCTAAGTTCGTCTTGGATTGAACTAGCATGGACTTCTTTGCGCCCAAATGAAGATTCCTGTGCTTCTATTAGTGAAGTTAACAACAAAAACATTCTTTTTTGTGGCAACTTAGACGACAAACTCTCTAAAATCATCTACACATAGTGGCATGGTGGATCTTAGAGAAATGGAGGAGAACTCGATCCTAAATCGATAAAAGTCAAGATCAATTCGAGAGAGGAAAGAACCATACGCTTTTCATTGAAAGATATGGCTCGTGATTTTATGAAAACCTTAATATAAACATCATAAATTTTATGTGGTATTTTTTCGTAGGTTAATCTAAAATATCGTATTTTTTTATTTCTTTATTATTATTATTATTATTATTATTATTATTATTTTTGTCATTTTGGTATTAGTGCAAATATGCGTGGATAAGTTTGATTACGGATCTATTATTTTATGGAATATTTTTAAATGTGATTAATATATTGTTATAAGATATTTAGAATTAATCGTAGGTTTAGATTATTGATACTACACGATATCCGTTATTGGCACTCTATTTAAAAGATGATACGACATATTTATTTGATAAACGTTGACTAATTTATTATAAATGAAAATGTAAATTTACACGTCTAAATTGCATATAATATATTCACTTTTAAAGCATCGTATGAAACTCTTTATTATTCTATTATATATATAAATTCTTTTGATCATTCATCTGTAACTTTTTTGTTTTTTTAATCTTTTCACTAATAACATGTGACTCGAAGCATATGCCTTAAAGAATATAACTTTTTATTTCCAAAATTTACACTAAATTAATCCGAAAAGTACCATTTCTAATCTCTATCCTTTTAGGGAATTTATCTTGTTTGTTTTCGATATTGAATCTTAAACATTTTAAGTAGTCAATTGATATCTTCCCGATTTTTGGGTTTGGACCTAATCGGATTAGCGGAAAATTTTTTAAAAAGAAAAATAAATGTTAAAAAATTATACGTAATTCAACTATATTCTAGCAATTCTAGCAAAGAGCAATGCTCACTCAAAAGGTCATAATTTTCACATTACTAAATGGAATCATATATTCTAGAAATAACGCATTTTTCTGTTTATTATTTTTGTTAATTAATTTTTTTTATTTTTTAATATAACCTTTGTAAGCAAATATATTTTACTCACCTAATTTCAAAAAAAATTTAAAATTTAATATTCTAATGTACCTTTTAACCATATAGAATTCAATTTAAATATTATAATTAGAGTCTTAAAGTTGATCAATTTATTTTTTTAATACAACTAAAAAGCATATATACTTATATATATATTTGAAAATATATTTATATTAATTAAGGTGGGGACGGGGAATATAATCTCGTCCTCAACTCCATTTATCTAACGTGAAAAAATATTCTCACTCTCTTCTCCATTTCTCTTCTAAACAGAGAATCTCCTCTCCTTTCGAGGAGGGTCCCCACAAATAAAATGGATATCTTTGAAGCTCAAAACAATATTATATAACATGTATTAAAGGAAAATAACCTAATATAATACTTCAAAAGAAAGTTAAATTCAATTAACCTTCAAATTTGTATTAAATAGATTTATAAATTTTATAAAGTATCCCTAAACTTTTAAGGTTGAATTTACGTAAATTTCCATTTTTACTTCGGTGATTAACATTTTTAAACTTTGCAAACACTCTACCTTCATTTTTAAAAAACGAACACACAAATACCATACTCATTAATCACCCGCTTTTCCCTTTCCTGCCCGTATGTTGTAGAAAAAAAAGATGAAGATTTAATACTCAATTTGTAACATTTAGATGGGATTGAGAAGAATGCTATATTGCGAGAATAAGTGTAAGCCTTGTTACTCGTAAACACTTCACGCTGACGGTATGATATTATCTATTTCTCAATTTTATCCAAAAAGGCTTCTATACTTGTGAAATGTTGTACCTCTTCACTTATATATACCCATTTTGATGGATATCTCCATGGCTAACAACTTTTTTGTTTTAACATTCCAAAATTCTATTGATACATTGTCATGGATTTACGAGGTATTGTCATGACCTCCTCCGTCACCACATTCACAATCATGACCGCGGCCATGCCCACGACCTTGTACTTTCCTTGTTGTGACTACCATGTTCCTTCTTACCTAAAAAGAAAGAACCAACTACATCTTTTCTTTTCATCCATGCGAGCCACTTCTCATATTTGAGTACAAATGATTCTCCTCCTCTCTATCGTCATAGCCACAAAGTCTCTTCTTATGGACTTTAAATGACCAATGACCTCAACTGACATGTTCTTAAGGTTATTGTACTGCTCAACGGATGTAATATTCTGCATGAATCTTGAGGGAACAATTCAAAGAAACTTCTTGATGATGAATATCTCCTCCACCTTGTGCCTAATGAACGGATGTCAATGACGATTGTCGTAAACTTCGTGACAAATTCGTCTATTAACTCGCCTCAAACTCGCTGTTCAAGGCCTATACTTTTTGACCCATTCAAGCCCACATGCAGTATCTCCCATACTGCCAACAAATGTTAGTCTATAAGACGATTTATTATCTTTAGGAAAGAGGGAGATGCGTGAAATGCAAAATAAAAAAGTACGCATCTACCTCATCAAAACAGATCCTATTAACACTACAATTGACAATATTAAAAGATGATTTATTACCTTATTCCTGAAGAGGGAGATACGTGAAATGCAAAATAAAATACTACACATCCTGCCTCATCAAAACCGATCCTATTAACACTACATTTGACAATACCAAAAGATGATTTGTTACCTTATTCCTGAGGAAGGAAGAGGGAGATACGGTACACATCCTGCCTCATCGAAACCGATCCTATTAACACTACATTTGACAATGCCGTTAGCAGCCCAACGTATCTATAGTCTAAAAGACAATTTATTATCTTATTCCTAAAGAGGGAGATACGTGAATTGCAAAATAAAATAGTACACATCCTGCCTCATCAAAACAACTTAACTTGTTTCTCTTTAAGACTTGGCAAGCAGAGGGTATTAATGGTGAAAATGAGGGAGCTGAGACAGGACAGGACAGGACAGCCATTACCCCTGCTAAATTTTCAGCCAAACTTCATGTCTTTTAGAGGGACAATCAGAAGATATTAGAGGTCCAGAAACAAACATGTCAAGATTCACGTAGCCATAATTCAGAAAGAACCTGAATTTGATAGTGTCGCTTCTCAGATGCAAAAAACATCAACAAACAAAACGATCCTCTTTCTTCCCGTGCTTCAAGTGGAATCTATTAAGAATATTAACAAACAAAATGATTCTCCTCCTTTGGAGTCCTGTGCTGAAGATCGTAAATCTGTTAAGAAATATCTGCGAGATGCAGGCAACGGTCATTCAAATATTCACCATATACACCTAGAAATTAGTAGCTGAATCAATATATCTTTAAAAAATGTGTTTAAACTTGTTAAGAAAGGTACAAAAAAGTTACAAAAAAACTAGTAGGTTGTTGAATGGTATTCATGGATGTCAATACAGGAATAACGTATAGTTCGCATGCAGTGATAAAATGATCTAGGAAATACCACAATAGCATATAGTAGTATCATTTGCAGCTAGCCTGCAAATACCTGTAACTGTCATTCTGAAGTAACTGCTGCTGCATAGAGGAGGAAAGTTGTCTGTCTACACAGTATTTGATAGATATTTCAATCTTCCATGAACACGATGGTGGAGCCAGGGTTGAAGAAACAAGCATATTAACTTCTCTTTCATCACAATTTCCAGCAACCAAAATATGACAAAAGCAATAATACACGACAGGAGAAAAAAAAGAAGGAAATGAAGAACAGGACAAGACGATGGAGACATAGAAGAACAAAATTGTCCAGAAATCATAGAGATGAGTGGCCTCCTTTTTGAAGAAAGTCACGCTATCACACGGCCTGTAACAAATCTATAAGAATATAATTAAGATACAAACAAATAAAGTCTAAAATGAGGTGTACTCCATTCACATGTTAGGTGCAGCAGGTGACATCAAGGGCGATAGTAGGTGGAAATCCATCCCCAGAATGATATTGAACTCAGTAGAGATAGAACATACTCATAGCAACTTTGATGCAAGACATTGAATACTTTTTCAAAGTTGGGGCAAATGATGTGGGATAATGGTATATTTGATTATTCCCCCTCTTGGAATTGTAATAGTTTGCTGTTGATCATATTATTCAATAGAGTTTCTTAAGAGTTTACTCTCAAATTTGAGGGACTTCTACATTCTCGGGATGAATTTCCTAGTTAAATCCGCCGCATCGAGTTTCTATCTCATGGAAAACAGTTCAACTAAGTGTTTACTGAAGACACTGAAAAAGAAAACAAATTACTTCTGTAGGTCATGCAACATTACCACTATAAAGGATCTATCGAGAAATTTATAAACTGAAAAGAGTGGAAAATTCTAGTAGAACAACTGAATATATATCAATCAAATCCTACTCTATC